GGCTTGAAGAAATCGTAAAAGAATTCATTTTTCAGTCAAAGACAGCAGCAAATATGAAATCAATGTACAGATTACAAAGCAGAATAATAAAACGCCGGTGAAATTAGCACAGAAGCAGAACAGAGGCAAACTGAAAAGACGAGGTCACTTTGAGCCAATTCAAGCGCTGTTGCTTAACGTCAGTAGAACGTTCATAGAATGCGTGGATCATCGACCTTCGATACTGTTTCATTCTGGAAAAAAGCAACGACATAACTAGAATCAGTTGATGAAATTCGCGACATGCATTGCGCTTCTGTCATGCAGTTGACGAGTGCTATCATCCGGGATGTTCTTACTCGAAACCGCTAAATCAACGAAATTAGACAGTAGACCATTGCGTGAATTGCCATTATTTAAAGATACTTGTCTCAGCAATCACCGTGCTCCTTGAAGTCGCAGGTCAGCAGGCCTGCTAAGGAACAGGTACAGTGATCGAATCCTCTGATGACATCATGTAATGCATTAAGGTTTCTCAGACGATTAATATAAAATGAAGCGCCTCAGAGTTTGGTCGTAACGTGATAGAAGTGTGTGTCCAAGTAAGATCAGATGAGAAAATTATATCTGAGTGTTTGGCCAGATCTTTTGAAAAACACTATTATGCAACGGTAACAACTGCAAACGGAGAAACATTACAGCATCATTCATCAGTAAGAATAAACAAACCAGCATGGAACAAATTCACAAATCTTTGAGTCATCACTGATTTCCAAAGACAAGCATATGAAAAGAACACCGAGAAACAAACCGCATTTTATGCAAAGAAATAAGACTGTTTTAAAGCGATAGTGGAAGATTTTGTTACAATCAGTCTAAAGCAATGAATACGGAGGCCTAGTCAACATATCAGCTAGCTGTTATCATTGTTTTTGGTCGACGGTACTAATATCTCCTGAGATTCATCGTTTCTCATTGGCTGATCAACGTCTGCTGAAACAAGCTCTTCCCTTGGAGAATCATGCTCTTCGTCCGTTGCATTTGCGATATGAATAACTTCAG